TTTCCTTACTTAAATACTAATTTGACTTTAACGGTAAATCTAAGCAAGAAAAGGAACTAACCTGGTTGATCTTTTCTTGTTTTGTTCCGTTATCGCTTTCTATAGTAGAACCCAATCCTTTTTTGATAGAATGGAAAAAAAGGCACTAACCACACTCTTGTTGAACTTGAGAAATTGTACATTGGAGAAAAGAAAATTATAGATTAATACATAAGACAAAAAAATACTCCTTGCGGGCAACCGATGTGGAGACAAACTACAAGAACCTGATAATCCGCACATACTAAGTTGTCCATTTTGAACTTCAAAGTCTGTAGAAAATGTTGCCTGCACCACTATCACCATTAGGAGACTTCATCCATTTACCCTACACTGAACTTAAGTAGTCAACGGTAGTGGTTAAATACGAAGTTTATCACTTTGGTGAGTAGCATGGTGGTCATAGATGTAGCTGCAAAGAAAGCTGAATGATTACATGTTTTAGCGACTGAGTTTTAGTTTCAGTACTATTTATAAGTGCTTTATCAACAATACTCAGAGGTCAAGCGCATGACATTGCTCTCTAGTATGCATATGTGTCCTCAAGTAATCAAACACGAGCATATAATTTAAAGCACGAACAGTTACTAAACACGCCTTGCCCATTTTATTGTGTAACAGGAATGAGATCCGACACTGAGGGTAAATCAGACGGGAGAAAAAGCGTCTGCTTAAGTAAAATCATTTCCATCAACCTTCACCGTAGAATTAGTATGTATCGACATGAAAAACAGTAATTTCCTATGGACTGAGACAACTCTCAAATGTGTCCTTAAAAAAGATAGCCACAAGCAGGAACCCAAAAGACGATAATCTTACCTAAATTTTGCACTTCCGTTGGGCTTGAACCTGAGATCTCCGCTGGAAACACCATGGCTAATGCCTGTCGGTGCAACCACCTACCGACCTTCACATTGTCCAAAATATCAATACCCACCCTGATACAACCAAATGGTTTGTAGTTAGTCCAGAAAGATTAGTAGAAAATCAACCACATGGCGGAGGAGATCAACGGTGTGGCTGTACGGTTGGCGGAGTCGAAGAAGAAGGGGCTCCAGCGCCATTGACATGGAGGAGGTCATCCGCCGTCGATGAGGGGCCTTCCGGGCATCCCCACCCTTGAAAAAGGGGCTCGGGCGCCATTGACGTGGAGGAGGTCATCCGCCGTCGATGAGGGGCCTTCCGGGCATCCTCACCACTTGGAAAAAATTGTGCGGAACTGTTCCACTTCACTCCATGCCATGCCCTAACACATACAAAACAACACGGCGATATCTCCAATGCGCGCTACGAACTTCCCGTCGTCCTCCTGGCCGCCGTCCTCGTCCTGCTATAACCGTGCCCGTGCATGACGTCGGACCCATCAACTATGGTGGTCACGCGCACGAGGCTGAGCGGGGCACACACACCTTGGATTCACAGGCCGCAGGCATGCCTTGCACGAGGACGACACTACTGTCTTCGACCATGAAGAAGATGGAAGGGTGCAGTGCCGGACGGGGATCATGAACTTCGCCTGACTCGGCAAGGATGATGTCGTCTCTCTCATGCCGGACTCGGCCAAGACATCGGGCACGGGCACGATCGTCCCAACATGGTCGATGACAGCTACGTTGATTTCATGGTGGCCGGAGAAGACCAGGGACGATGGAGATCAGGAAGTGAAGAGTAAGGAGAGAAGTTGACAAATAGGAAGGCTAGCATTGAATGCGGTGCGGTAGATCAGGAGCCTATAGTTGGATAAGATCTGTGGGCGGATCGCACACTATATGAGAAAAAGGAAACAAATTGCACACAAATAGGAAACAGAGGGAGTACCTTCCTATCCAGGTGCACGAGCGCATGCACCTCCTTTTTTTTGCCTTTTCTTACCGTGCAAAAACCAGAGAAGGTGAGCAAACGGGAGGTGGGGTTTTTTGATAAAAATCGGAGGACTGATTTTCCAATCGATATCGGTGGGATTTCCTTCGATGGGATGGGTGGAACTAACGAACGAACCGACGTACGTACTCATTTATTAGGAATAGAGATAATACTATCATTACGACCAGCCTTAAGTCATGATCCTTTTGCCCAAAGTTTTCAGTGGACTGGATCTCCTGCGGCCGGGTGCACGCGTCGGGTTGCTTGTGGGCGCAGGGTGCGTGACAAGATTTGTAAGCGTGCCGAGCTCCCAGTGTCTCGGCTACTGCACATAAGATGCTGCCTGTAGCCGTGGCGCGCATGCACTGCACCTCCCTAAAATTCCTGTACAGAGAAGCACCGCCTAGTAGTAAAAAAAAAGAAATGGCATCAGCTTTTTTGTTGTTGTTTTACTCGGATCTTTCGGCAAAAGGAAATCAGAGCGAGCATTTGTTTGTTCAGGGGTACTTCAATACTTGTATTTCGTTCCCAATCGGCCCATGGTATTGGTGTCCTACTCCAAGACTACGGGCGCTAGCACACAGGTTTGGGGTGCATGAAGGGCGACGTCTCTGGAACTACCTCTCTACGTTGCTATCGGTGGCCGCGACCAGTCCACGTCGCCCGGACATACATGCTTCCCGTCGTTTTCGCCGCCGGGCCACCCACCGCATGGCGCCATGGGTCCGTGGTCGGAGCACGAATAGAGAAACCCAGGGGCGAAATTGGGACTAAGGCAACTGGGGCTATAGCCCCAGGCGTGGGCCAACTAGTGCCATTATATCCAGTAGAAAATTTTCAGATTTTCATATTTATAGAGGCCCAGCCCCAGACGTGAATACCCAGCCCAAGGCCTCAGCGGCAGCCCAACTAACTAGCTCAGCAGGAAGCCACGCCCACGGCCTCATTGGTCGGTTGTGATTCCAAAGGCATCGATCGATCGGCCAGAAATATTACATTCATTGTCGATCAAAAGATCCCTTGTTGACTCGGTGCCTCGTTTCATCCGCCGCCCCAGCCCCTCGACGGCTCGACAGACTGAACGATCCGGATCTGTGCTTGGCCTTGTGGCCGCATCACAGTCGCAGCAAGCCCACTCGGTGCTCTGGCCATCTCCAATTCACTTGTTCTGCTCCGCCTCCACAACTGGCTATAGAGGTATTTAAAGTTGTCGTATCATCTACTTCCTCCGTTCTAAAATAGATGACCCAACTTTGTACTAAGTTGGATCATCTATTTTAAAACGTAGGAAGTATTTTTCCTATGGATGATTTGATCTAGCTTTTTAAATCTAGATGTTAAATTGTACTATTACTTTAGTCAATTGTATTTTAGTTACTTGTTAAAAGAAAAAATGATAGAAATCCAAGATAAAGAGGAGACACACACTCGGACGCACGCACACACGATTAAATTTCTTTTGAAGCAAGTTCCCACCAGCCTACATCCAACAATACCAGAATCAGAAGGAGCCGGAGCTAGTAATGCAAATAAGTAAAACGTGTGTGGAGCTTAATCCAGATGACATTAATCTTGACCCCGGTCTCCATAAACCTAATGAGGAAACGCAAGGGGCTATTACCTATTGCACTTCATGATAAATGGTATATTAAGTTTTCCCTTTTTTTGGCACTATTCGTATGAACAATTGACTTGGTCTATGTACATTGTCTTGATTTTAAATACACGATTTTGTGTTTGTAACTCCGATCCTTCTAATATTGCTAGTGAAGAAACGATGGCCTCAAATTAAGCAACTCTTCATTAAATTTTCCCTCGTGGTAAAATGAATTTATATTTCATCTTTAATGTGAATTTTTGACATACTTCTAACACACGCCGGTATGCTTGGTATTTGACGTTATTTTTAGTCACTTAGTTTTAGCCCTAGGCTTTGAGAAATCCTAGTTCCGCCTCTGGAGAAACCGAACCGCTCCCTCGTCCTTGGTTAGACTCGTCCGGACGGCCCATGGTATTGCGTGGCCCTGTGTGCTCGCTCGCCTTTCCCCCAGCGGACCAGTTTCGTCCTCGCCCGTCCCATATATACCCAGACGCCCTAGTTTGGTTCAGCACAGCTAGGGGTGGAAACGGATCGGATGCGGATCGGATAGTGCTCTTGCCACTTCCATTTTCATATTTTCAAAACGAATACGAATCCGAATACGGATGTTATCGGATACGGATGCGGCTCGGATATTATTCGAATACGGATACGTATCGGATATTTTCTTGATTCAGAACGGATACGAATAATATCAACATATTGCTTAAGTAAATCAGTCGATAGCTATGTGACCTGAAATAATCAACTTGTGACATACAATAAGTCAATGATAAATAGGTTTATGAATAAATACTATTGTAATGCATAATAATTTATAAGTTTAATCATATAAAGAGTAAAATTTGACCACTTATTTGGCTTTTATGTTGGATAATTGGAATATTGAGTCTAGAAATTTGAAAATTACCTCCCATGATCTTATTCGGATACGGATATATCCAGTTCCATATTCATATTTGTCTCAAAATCTCCTATCATATTTTATTTTTTATTTGTTTAATAAATTCGGATACGAATAATTTCTATTTCCATTTTGGTTCGGACGCGGATGTTTCGGATGCGAATAGGCATTTTTTCGAATACGAATATCAGATATTTATCCGCTACCAATTTCCATCCCTAAGCACAGCAAACACTCGATCAACCCCCCACTCCCGGCGTACCAAAAGCAACGACGTCTACAAGGCCACACGAACACCAGATGGCCTGCGCCTTCTTCTTCGACGCCGAGCCGGTCGGCGAGCCCGGCGTGCACGCGCTGGACGCGTGCGCGCTCTGCGCCAAGCCGCTGGCACGGGACTGCGACATCTTCATGTACAGAGGGGACACGCCCTTCTGCAGCGAGGAGTGCCGCCACGAGCAGATGCACCTCGACGCCGGCTGCGCCAGGCAGGCGGCCAGGGCGGCCGCCCGGAGGCAGAAGCAGTTCTCTTCGGGAACGGAGTCCGGGCGTGCGCGCCGGGAGTCCTGGGAGGTGTCCGTCGCGAGCTAACCGGCAAACAAGATCTGCGTGCACGAAGACGGCGTCGCCCGTGGCCAACAGATCAGCGCGGGATCGAGGAGACTCTCCTTGGTTGAAGGAGGAAGCAAGACGCGGGTCATCGGGGTTGCTCACGGCAGGCCGGTGCTGCATGGGCATCAATGTGCAGTGGAAAAGGAGCTGAACTGGATCTGAAGTCAATCAAACATGATACTCCACGGCCATAGCCGGCCAGGCCATGTGTGCCCCTCGGGCCTCGGCTCTCCTTTCTTTCAGCGTTAATGTCAGTTCTGTATGAGAGCGAATTTGCAAGAGGTAAATACACCAGTGGTGCTAGAACTTGTTATGAATGTGCATTTTAGTGCCTGAACTTGCAAAATATATTGAACTGGTTTCATAACTTGGCATATACAGTTCAAACGAAGCTGAGGAGACGCGCCAGCATGCCATGGGGCCCGCTGTCGGTGCCAAGGGTGCGTGGCCTGTTTTTTTTGCGAAAAACCTCTGAAATTGTTTTCTTTCAATAAGGCCCTCAGAGAGAAACTGACAAATTATAAAATAAAAATTAGGTGTATAACTATAAGATAAAAATTACAACTCGTGTGCTCGATCGAACCAACAACGTACCAGTCGAGTGCGTGCGGCTAGCCACTCGACAACTTCCCATTTGCTGATATTTAATGATTCATAACCTTTATAAACATTTGGCCAAACAAAATAAATAAAGAGAATTTAATAATCCAGCAAAAACGGCACCAGATCTGTGACCGAACATGGGACCAAAGCTTGTAGATCAGGCACGGATGCCACTCCAACCAATGAGTTGTCATGTATCAAAAGTACAAGTACTTTTTATGACTATATAACAAACATAATTTCAAAAGAATGCAAAAATCTTCATGTCATTTTAAAAAGAATTCACGTGTTATTTTAAAACATATTCATAAAATTGAAAATATTTATGAATGATTAAAATAAGATTCCAGTATTATTCATGTGGGTATTTCAAAAAAATATTATTTATGTCAGGATCCGCAGTCTAATGGCGGACTAGACTTGTATTTTTTTTAGAAAACACACAAACTTATATACTATATAAACTTTTCAAAACAACATAGTTTTTTGCTAAAGCTTGAACACATTGATATACTAAAGAAATAGTTTATTAGAAAAGTGGAAATTTTAAACTTATATGGGAATTTATTTAAATATATGAACGTTTCTAAAATTACTTCCATATTTTATTAAAAGCTAACATTTTTCAAATTATAAAATATATTCTTAATTCATAATTTTATTATGTGTTTTTATGTTAAATTATTGCATAGGTATTTGACGAAATTATATGAAATTTTTAACATAATTTATTTTAAACATATGTACATTGTTTGTAACGCGATAATAACTTACGTATTTTTAAAAAATGAAATGAAAAAGAACAAACCCGTTCAAAATTGAGCCACGTTGTGGTTCGTTTTAGCCACACGGGCTCGTTATGATATAAAGCTAAATTTATCATTCTGACATTCAGTGTTGTCGGTTGGAGTGGTATGTGAGGCCGCTATATAGCCCCTGGTTGCAGGTTCAAATCAATGGCACTATATTGCTGGAATAAATATTTTTAATTTATGTTGTTCAGCTTTATGTTTATAAAGTATATGAATCCTTTCTTGACACTAAATTTGAACCGGTAAGCAATCCAACCAATTAAAAAAAAGATTAATATTTGTTTCAATTTAAGAGTTTCTCTTTGAGGGCCTTTTTGTAAGGAAAAAAATTATTTTAGGAGGTTTTCCAAAAAAGCCAGGCCACATGCCTTATCCCTTACATCCCGACGTGCCTCATGAGCGTCATGGACGTATAAAAACGACATTTAAACTGTATATGCACGTCCATGTCAAGTTATGGAACCAGTTTAATGTATTTTACAAGTTCAGACACCAAAATGCACATTCGTGGCAAGTTCAAGCACTAGTGATGTATTTACCTCAATTTGCAATGGCGCTTTCACTGGGTAAACTATCAATCGAATCGACATAAGACATGTCTTTGTGCAATCCTGTTTCTGTCCATGATTAGCGTGCCAATGAGATTGAACAAGCTAAGCCGTTGGATGTTTACCACACGATTTAAAACTGAATTTTGTTCTAAGGCCTGGGGTGTCAAAAACTGAATCCCCGTACTAATCTGATAGGTAAACTCGGTCGACGCTGGAATTACCTTGGTTTGCGTATTGTCTGTGGTGGGGCTCACGCTGTGCTCGTGCATAGAGCTTTACGTCCATGGACCGGGCTTATTCGGGCCTAAACTTTTACAAACCCAGCCCAAAAATGTCTAGTGTGAGCCAGTCCTGAAGGTGTTGTAAAATTGTGTCAAAAAATAAAGGAGGTGTGTGTATAAGCAATCTGATTTTATCAGGGCAGAGGAAGGCTAATATATTTGAATGTGGTTTTATTTTGTGTTCATCGTTCTGCATCAAGTTGCCTTTTTTTTGCGGGGTGAAAAGGGGTTTTATGCCAAAATCATAGAGTTACAATGTAAAAGGCTGAGAATTCCTTAGCACATGGAGGCCTGCTATCTAGCCAAATAGGGATGTCACATTCAGTATGGCTATACCTTGAGGACCGACTTGACCAAGACCGTCCGACCTGCCGAGGCAATGTGCCTTCCCACCCAAGAGGTGAGCTGGCCCGCAATCTTGTCCTTGAGGACAAGAAGAAGATTGATGCCCTCAAACATGCTTTTTCCTTTGGGCAGGTTGTCATAAAGTCACGGGTGAAAAATGCAAGATAAATTAGGAACAAGTGTGCAAGTCCAAATTGCATGGAGACCCTGGAATCCTAAATCTTGACAAGTTTGCCATTGCCCTTCGCCTCCGGTGGCTATGGGCCAAGTGACTCCACCCGGACAAGCCATGGGTTGGCTTGGGAACCCCTTGTGATGACAACGACCGAAATATATTTGCCGCAGCTACCAAGGTCCTAGTTGGCAATTACTTGCGTGCCAAGTTTTGGAAGTCTCCTTGGCTCGATGGGATTAGGCCCAAAGACATGGCCCCTAAAATATATGAATTGTCAAAGAAAAAGAATTGCTCGGTTCAAATGGCTCTGCATGACAACTTCTGGACTTCCCAGGTGGACATTCTCCGCGGCATCACTGTCGAACACCTCTTTTATTTTGTCACCTTTTGGGAGAAGGTCTCCCATATCCACCTCGACATCCACTCGCCCGACACTACCACTTGGAAGTTCACCACTGATGGACACTACTCGACGACGCCGGCCTACAAGGTGCGGTTATTTGGCCATACTGACACGGACATGATACCGACCGTTTGGAAGATTTGGGCGCCTCCTAAATGCAAGTTCTTCGCTTGGTTGGTAATCAACAATAGGATTTGGACAGCGGATAGGCTTCAGCGTCGTGGGTGGCCAAACTATAATCTTTGTCCCCTATGTAAGCAGTTTCAAGAGTCAGCGGCCCATCTTTCTATTCCAATGCAAATACACTATGAGAGTTTGGCACATGATCAAAGATTGGCTGGGTCTCCATGATGTGCATCCTTCTGATTGGAGTGACGCGACTTCCGTTAAACATTGGTGGAGCCACAATGCTACCAAGAAGACCCAATCACGAAGACCACTTGCTTCCTTGATGATTCTTATATCTTGGGAGTTGTGGAATGAGAGGAATGCGTGGATCTTTCATAATACTGTCGTCCCGGTTGGAGTCATCGTCGCTAGGATGAAAGAGGAGATGTCGCTTTGGAGCATGGCGGGGGCGAGGCACTTGAGTAACATAATGTCGAAGAGTGATCGTTGTAATTCGGCCATAGGCCTTAACCTCTTAAACTTCTCTCTTAATCAATGAAAAAGGCAAATCTTTTGCCTCATTTAAAAAAAGTATGACTATACCTTGCTAAACAATCCGTCACTCTATTCTGAGAACGATGAACCTTTTGAGGAATAAACCCCCGGACCTCTCGTAAGGCTAGAATCTCTAACACTAGGTGTCCATATGGAGACCGGACTAGTGACCCATCACATAAGATAGTAAGGGTCGTGGACGATAAGCACTTCAAACCGTAAATACGCTTATCCGCTTAGAGTGACATAATATAAAATTCTATTTTTGCCTTGAAGATGTACGGATCTTTAATTTCTTCCACGTCCATTGATGCACCATGTTCATCAAGAAAATCAAAAACATGATTAAGCCTGCAATTACCTATAGGTGTGATCGGTGTAAATGATGGCCCCTTTGGGATCCTCGGATCCCGCCACGTACTCACAAATCCCTTCCCCTTATATTGACAACTAGAAAATACCCCACGCGTTGCTGTGGAAATCGCTTGCAATATGTCCAGTGATTTTTTTTGAACATATGTCCAGTGATTTGATTGTATGCAACATGCATATTTGAGATAATAATATATAATCTTCTCTTCATGTAGAAAAAAAAACATTTCAGACAGATTCATATGAATATTACAGCTTTGCTGCTGGTAAAAGCAGTAGCCAGAGACTACTAAAGAAAATGCAGAACTTGCAAGTGGATCTGATGACACTCCCATTTGCGGTTTCTTTGAACATTTCGTCCCACTTTTGTTTTATTTCTTTGGTGTATCACGTGTCCTCTAGTCATCCCCCAAAACTGTAAATTGCAGTCTGCAAGGTGCATTCCGCTTGGCTCGAAACGTGCTCGGCAACCCCGATGATAAGACCAACTGGCAGCCTCTCGGAGTCTCGGTTAAACAACTACATCTCATGAAGCAATGACCCGCATCCTTTCTGCCCAGAGTTTTCAGCGTACTGCTTCTCTGCGGCTGGGTGCACGCGTCGGGTTGCTTGTGGCCGCAGGGTGCGGGACAAGATCTATACGCGTGCCAAGCTCCCACTGGGTTGACGGGTCGCTCCAGAGACGTCGGAGCCTCCCAGTGTCTCGGCTACTGTACACAAGGTGCTGCCTGTTGGCGTGGCGCGCATGCACTGCACTTCCCTAAAGGGCATCAGCCTCTTTTCTGGTTTTCTTTTCCGTTTATTTTTTACTCTCTTTCGCCAAAAGAAAAAGTAGAGCGAGCATTTTTTGTTCAGGGGTACTTCAGTACTTGTATTTCGTTCCCAACCGGCCCATGGTATTGCTTTCCTGTACAGCTATACTGCAAGACTACGGGCGCTAGCACCCAGGTACCGGGGGTACATCGACGCGCGACCTCTCTGGAGCGAGCCTTGTAGAACGTTGCTATCAGTGGCCGGGACCCCGTCCACGTCGCTCGGACATACATGCTTCCCGTCGTTTTCGCCGCCGGGCCACCCACCGCATGGCGCCATGGGTCCGTGGTCGGAGCGCGAATAAAGAAACCGAACCGCCTCAGCGCATGGTATTGCCTGGCCCTGTGTGCTCGTCCCGCCCGCGCCGAGCCTGTTTTCTCCTCGCCGGTCCGTGTTCGTCCCGGCGTAGCCATATATACCCAGACCTCAGTTTGGTTCAGCACAGCAAGCACTCAACCTCCCACTCCCGGCGCACCAACCCACTGCCAAGCTAGCTACGCGCACGAGCTCTCCATGGCCGCATCGGTAGCCTGCGCCTTCTTCTTCGACGCCGAGCCGGTCGGCGAGCCCGGCGTGCACGCCCTGGACGCGTGCGCGCTCTGCACCAAGCCGCTGGCAAGGGACAGCGACATCTTCATGTACAGAGGGGACACGCCCTTCTGCAGCGACGAGTGCCGGCACGAGCAGATGCAGCTGGACGCCGCCTGCGCCAGGCAGGCGGCCAGGGCGGCCGCCCGGAGGCAGAAGCAGTTCTCTTCAGCAACGGAGTCCGGGCGTGCACGCCGGGAGTCCTGGGAGGTGTCCGTCGCGAGCTAAGCGGCGAGAGTGGCAGAGACCGTATGTACTTGAGCTAACAAGCTCCGCATGGAAGAAGCTGCCGTTGCCCTATCAGCGCGAGATCGAGGAGACTCTCCTTGGTTGAAGAAGCAAGACGCGGGCTATCGGACTCTCTTACGGCAGCGTTGGCAGGCCGCCGGTCAAGTGATTTGGGCATAAACGCAGCGGAAAGGAGCTGGACTGGATCTGAAGAAGTCAATCAACAAGATTCTCCACGCAATTAGGCGGCCCATGTGTGCCCCGAGCAGTCCCTCGGCTCTCCTTTTCTCCTGCGTCAGTGTAACTTCTGTATGATTCCGAATTTGCTTTAGGCAATAGCACTTTCACTGGGTAAACTATCAAGCGAATCGACATATAACATGTCTTTGTGCAATCTCGTTTCTGTTCACGATTCAGCGTGCTCACGGGATTTAGCAAAGCTAAAACGTTGGATGCCAAAAACTGAATTTTGTTCTAGACATGGGGTGCCAAAAACCGAATCCCCATACTAATCTGATTGCTAAACTCGGTCGACAAAAATTAAAAGAGTCTCGGTCCACTAAAGCATCGTCAAGCCAATTCCTAGAGTCTAGTTTTGGCTTTGATCGGTGAAATCAAGCGTTCACTTCAAGGAGACGAGACTTTAAAATTGCTGCCATATGTGATCAAAAAGTTGTTTGCCATAGACTTGCTCAGCTGGGGGGTTCTTCCACTCGTGCAGCTGTCTGGTTGCCCTCAAGTCTTGATGAGATTGTTAGCCTCTGTGGCCAAACCATCCATTAATATAATCTCTTTTACCCGCAAGAAAGAAAAAAAATTGCATTGCTTTTGCGTATTGTGTGGGCCAATTTATATCTTGCTTATAGCGAGATATCTCGACGAAGGTTTTACCCCCCACCTGTAGCTACTGGGCCGGTCCATTCTTCGTTTCTTTTTCTTGTTGGCTTGTTTTGATCGAATTTGCCTGTTTCGTTAGCTGGGTTACAATTGCTAGTTTTCATTTCCGATTGTTTTCTGTTTTTTCATAGTTTTTTTTCTGCTTTTTTCTTCATCGATTATATTCATTTCATTCTCGGTTTTTAGTGTTTCTTTCTTATATTTTCTTTCTTTGTTGTTTTTCCTTTGATCTTCATCGTTTCTTTCTTGGTCCTCACTGTTTTATGAGTTATTCTTTATTTTTATTTGTTTACTTCTTGATTTTTATTGTTTTATGCTTTTCTTTCCTAGTTTCGTTGTTTCTTTCTAGGTTTTCATCGATTTTCTTTGCTTTCTTGTTTTTTTCTCAGCTTTCTTCGTACCCATTCTTCTGCAAATTGGTTCTCTTTGATTTTTCTTTTCATTTCTGCATTTCTTTGTTTTTTCTTTTGGTTTTAGTGGGTTTTCTTTGTTTTTATTAGTTTCTTTGTCGATTTTCATCCTTTTTCTTTTTTTCCTAAACACTTGTCATCTTTTTTCAGTACACGTTCACATTTGTCGTATGTATCAGAACAATATTTTATATACATATTTAGAATTTTTAAAGACATGATTAAATTTTTTGATTTACATTTGAGGATTTGTTATATATCTAATACATCTTTTTAATAGATGTTCAACATTTTTCGAATACAATATTAACCTTTTCGAATTCCTGGTCAATGATTTTCTTGTACACATTTTCTTTTTACAAATGCTTGATAAAACTTTGTAAATACAAGATTAACATATTTTAATACATGCTAAAAAATTGTATACATTTTAAAAAAATCAAATGCTTGATTAACATTTTTAAAATACAAGATTAACATTTTTATTACATGGTCAATGTTTTATACACATTTAACATTTTTGAAGTATTTGATTAAAAAATGTAAAAACTTCTTTTTTTACAAATGCTTTGATTAAACTATTTTCAAATACATTATCAACTTTTTTCACAATGTATTTTTTTTACATTTCTCATACAAACATGAGAAACATTTTATCCAGACATGTTTAACATTTTTCTAACAATTAGTTCACAATTTTTCAAATGTTAAGTGTTTTTTGTAAATATTTATGTAGAATACTTGTAAGTATAAACAAAGCTAAAAAATAACATGAAAATAAAAAACAAATAAACGAGGCTGTGGCCTCCAGCGCACCTGGGCCGACCCATCTCACGCTCCCCTTTACACAAGGCTTCCCTACATCTCGCTATAAGCGAGACATAGGGGTGATCCCACTATGTGTTCATGCATAGAGCTAGACGTTCCACGGACCGGGCTTCTTCGGGCCAAGCCTTTTACAAACTAGGACAAATATTTCTAGTGTGAGCCAATCTTAAATGTACAATAGTGTTAGTAGGAGTTTGTAAAATTACCTCAGGGAAAAGAGGTGTTTGTAAAAGCAAATTTGATTTCGCCTCCCTCTGCCTACTGTTCCGGTGACTGGTGGCGGGGAGTTGAATCACGATGCCACAGCTCCGGTTAGTAGTTTAATTAGTGTTTTTAGTCCTTCCAGGTGCGGCGGTCGGGCTTCTGGCGCCGCTTCTTCTTGAAGTTTGTCTCCCGAGCTTGTAAGTGCATCTAGTGTCATCCCTAGTTGGTTTTGGAGTATTGACGACAAACCTAGTTGAGGGACTAATGTGTTTGTGAGAATTGCAGGATAACACAGGTAGAAGTCCCTTATTGATTCAGTTTTCCTACCGGAGATGACCCCTAAAAATGTATGAAGACTGAAGTCAAAAGTGGTATGTGAAGACATTCACATTGAAGACTATGACAAGAGAAGACATCGCGTGAAGACTATGGAGCGCGAAGACTTAGTTGTTTCGTCGTTCTTTTTCTTCTTTGTTGAGTCATAGGAACCACAGTACTGTTAAGTGGGGTCCAAGTGAACCAGTCAGAATGACTGAAGTGAAGCTTAACCAAAATTCTATATCTTCGAGCGAAGACAATGAGAGCAAATCTTATCCAGAGCTGGATAAGTCAGCTTTGCTTGTAGCTCAAGTAAAGTTGCCGTGTGTGTTTGAAATCTGACCGTTGGAACACGTGTCAGTTTCTTAGTGACCAGGGTCATTTCGGACAAATTAGGTCGGGTTGCCTAGTGGCTATAAATAGCCCACCCCCTACACCATAAATTTGTTGGCTGCTCAGAGTTAGTGCACGGATTTTGTCATTTGAAGACCGAAGAAGAGTTTCTCTTTAATCTTGCTCTATTCTCTTCAAGATTCATGGTGCTAGCTTGTTGCCATCCTCTCATAATTGTTTTCGATTGTGAGAATCCTTTTCACCCATCAGGAGATATTCAAGAGTCTTCTCAGTTTGTTCTCCGGAGCCCATCATTTTAGAAGATTTATTCATTCTTAGCTTTCAGTTATCATTCTCCGACCTTACCGGTGCAGCGTTCAAGTGATCTCTAATTGGTCCATGATCTATTATATTCACTTGTATCTAAATTCTCTCAAGCATCTTCGTTCATTTTATAATTCTTCCCGGTGTTTCTTTATATTCTCTTCGTTCTTTTTCAATTCTCGCGGTGGTTCGCTCAAGATTCTTCTTCCTTCATTTATCTTATCAATTTATTCATTGTTTCAATTCTTACGGTGGTTCGTTTAAGACGTTCTCAAGTTTATGTTATATCTCTCTTAATCTTTTCTACGAGAATAAGTAATATGTCAAATCCGTTGATTGTCATCAATTTAACTGATGAAGGATGAGCATAATATAATTCTTATTCTTGTTTCATCCGAATGATTAATTCCTTATTCCGGAGGTGCATCATATCACATTCTTGGTTCGAGATGCTTTATCTTTTCTTTCCCGGAGTTCCAAGCTCTAATTATCACGGAGATCCATCTAAATCATTACAAGGTTTCACCTTGTGTTTTCAACTTGTCTTTCTTTTCGTTATCTTTTGTTTACCGGAGTTCTTCACGAAAGTTCTACATGATGGTTCATCTATGATTTAATTCATTCTCGAAGTGTTCATCGAGATTCTTTTCTAAGGAGCTTAAGTTTTCTTCATCTTGCAATCCGGAGTGCAATTCTTTCACGTATATCTTTTGAGGCGGTGTTATGTCATTCTCATAATTTCCCTTCGTGCTTCGTGTTTCACAAGTTACCAAGATGAGGTATTTTAAATCCACCAATCTCTTCATTGGAGTTATCTTGGGCTATATTTCACCTAAAGCTTTCCTTTAAGGATTGTCGCTCTTATGGTGTTTATCAAGGATCCAAGTTCTTCATCTATCCTTCCCGGTGAAATTACTTTCTCGTCAATTGGTTCATATCAATCCAATTCTTTTTCCGTGAATGGCAGGTTGTCACCTCATAATTTTGAGATGTATTCTATAAGTCCATATCAAGCTTATCCTTTTCGTTGTTGATAACCCAACAACTTTGTTCTAGCTTTTGGTGTAAGCGTGCTCTCTCAAGACCTTGTTTTTCTCCCCCGTTCATTCAGTTCCATTCTCTCACTTCTTCTGGAGGCATTGTGATGTTGCTCTCTTCAAGCCTTCTTCTTGTTCTTGTTAGGATCATGTTCTTTTCGTGTTATCCATTTTACCGGAGTGTCGTGCCCTTTTTTCAAGTTCTCTCATCTTATCAAGTTTGGCGTCCTTTCTCAGACGGAGTGCTGTCCAAATTATATCATTCTTAATCCTTCTCTATCTTGACTTAACCGGAGTTGTCTCAATATATATCTTGCCCTTCAATCTCAAGGTTTTTTCGCAATATTCTTTGTTCCTCTCTTCTAACGGAGTGTTTTCAACTTCGTTCATCTCAGTTGTATTCTTTTCTCGAAATGGCTTAACCTTTCAAGATTCATCGGTTTCACTCGATTGTCAAAGAAGCAATTTGTTTTACCTCTTCTTTTTCTCTTCCGTTGTCCCTCCGGTGCCAGTCTAGATCTCGGGACGAGATCCTCTCGTAGTGGTGGAGTGTTGTAACGCCCCGAGACCGATGTGCCAGGTGTCGTTCAGTTATTCGCTGTTGTTGCCTTGTCATTGCTTGCGTGTCATGCATTGCATATCATGTCAT